TGGGATATGCAAAAGCCCGGTTTTTTGCGCAAACTTAATCCAATATTCATTTTTACACAGGAGAAACAATTATTGATTTAAATTATTGAGGGATTTGTCAAGGAAAGCTGAACCCAATTGGATGTCTCGCATGAAGTGAATTTGGGGATATCCAAATATTGTACCGACTGCGATAAAACGAAGTGTGGGTGATAAAGGTGAACGAAATTCGGATGAATGCTGCCTAAGAAATCGACCGATAAATACTCCGTCGGTAGATGCTGGGTTCTTGCCTCCATGATGAAAGTGTCATCCACCATCGAGGCGCCACCTAATGAATGATTGAAGCCGTTGAGATCCCTCTGAAAGGATTTAGCGACAGCGTAAACATCCATTTTCCTGTTATCCAAATTGAAATGCTCTTATTCACTCTGGGAATTTTCGGCCACTTTTGCGCAATAAAACCTAATTGCATAAGTGAAAGCCTTGAGTCTGTATATTGATTAATTCTTTTCCGGTCATGATATATCCTAGGTATCCTAACGTCAAATATATCACCATGAAATACTTACACATTTTGAGTAGATGAACAAGGGGATCAGTTTCAATATTCAGTCTCGGATGTAATTTTGTTCATCCCAGATTATTTCAATATTTTCATATACAAATTGGTTCCGTGAACGAGAAAATATATCGCATTGTTCTGGTCAGGGCTTTTGCTTTATCCTGGAAGGAGGTTCGCACCGGCATACGCAGAAATACCGAAGTCTCATTCTTAGCGTCACACATGCCTCAAATGAAGTCTACGTCGCACACATGAACACTCGTTTTCTACCTCTGTCGTTGTGGATTTACAGACACCAGTTTACATCAGCTTTCTTTCTGTCATGTCGGATTTTGTTCGAGGTCTCAAAGACGTCTTATGTTAATTACAGTCAGTGAACATGTCTGAAAGCTATATAACAAAACAAAACATAGAGTAGTGTGATGCATTCTCTGAAAATGAGTTTATGCCGCTTGCATTCATGCGTGTCTAGAATTAGAAAATGATCCGCATGTCACAGATTTGTGTATGAAATCCATATATCGTACTACACCTAGGGACTACGCGTGCGTTTTAAAGCCAGCAAATCACGCGTTCCGGTGAATTCGGAGGTGCAAGGAAAACCTTCCCACCGTTGACAAAAAGGAAAATATTTAGCGAATTCTCATCGACATTAAGTCCACTATGTAAAGCAAGGAAGCACTGTACGTCTGTTACACCCTCACCGGCGTTCATTGGAACCGTGAATCTCAAGAACCGAACACACGACTTCCGGGCTGGTTTTTCAAACAAGTAATTTCTCCTTGCTTCTCAGACACCAATGGTTCGCCAGCTGCCCTGAACAGCGAAACTGCCATGGAATAAATAATGATCCTGAAAGAGGCAAAATGTGAAACCAAGTCATTACTGTTGAGTTTGAACAAAGACGTCTGTCTACGAAAAGGCCAAATTGCACTCAGAACCGTAAAAAATCTCGCTTATCCCTCATGGTGCTTCACTAATCGCAGCAAAGAAAATGGTATATTGTGATGAAAAGAATAAATAAATCATTCTTTGAGTGAGTATGTATTTAGAGGATGAGCTTTTCAATCTTGAGCTTTCTAAATGTATGAAGGAATGAGGCAAAATGACCTCTGGACGGACGGTTTAGCTGGTAGCATAATTGTAAACTTCGGTTGGAACAAGTCCTTTCACAAAAAAAGTATTGTCCATGGTCAGGAAAGTTCGTGATTCACGTCATCACCGAATTATGTCACGTCACCCAACTTTGTCTACCGTTTCACTGCCGAACCCCTGTACGATGTGCGCGACAGGAGTCAGAGGATGACGTCACACGGTCCGAAGTGGACTAATCTGCTCATGCCATTATAAGGTTAGTCTGATGCACGAAAAATAACAGTGCGATTTCACAAGTAAACTTGTTCTATTAACATGTGTTGCCACGTTGCAACGTTGATGTTTTCTAATGGTAACTGCCCCGAACGCGAATCATTTTATGATGAGCCCGTCTGCAAGTGATCATGTGATTTACTTTTTTAGTTGAAGGGTGATTGACGCTTTATCAGTCCAAGTGGGAAGCAATTGCTATACTAATCGGTTGTTTAGTGAGCGAATTATGGAACGACAGCAGACCAAAATAGTGGAGTTTTGGAGTGCATAACATTCCCTGACGTGATACACCATGCCCTCGAATATGAGTTGTGTTTCGAGGCTCCCAGCTCCCGAATTCTGATGGCAAGTTGAATTTGTGTATTTTTATAACATAAGAGCGTAAACTGCGAATAAGTCAATGACCACAGTACCAAGTCGGTGAACCTTGTCTGCTGTTTCACTTTTGAACCACTGTATAATGTAAGGGTATGTGACAGAGGATGACGTCAGATAGTGCAACGTTGAGTAATCTGTTCACGCCACTTAATGAGTGTCTGGTGCACAGAAAACAATATGATCTCACATGCAAGCTTGTTTCCTCTTGTGCTGCCAACATGATGTTTGCTAAAAATAACCCACCAAAAATAGATAACAAGAGCATATCTTCAGCGGAGCCTCAAAACCCAATGATGGATTTCAAAATCCGAATCAAATGCATAGTATTAGACATCCCTGCTTAAATCTACATTGAAAAACATAATGGGTGTCAAGTTGAGCATGGACTTACGTGCATCCCCGGATGAACGAAGCATATTCTGTCGCGGCTACCCAGTAATAGAACACCGCCGATTTTCGCAGCTCGAGACTTTGAAAGAAGATACGATAGGTGACCAATGGCACATGAAAAACTCCGAGGAATTCCTTATCTGGAAGACCAGTGTCCACGACCCAATTGTAGATACATATCCACATTTTCATCGACCGTTTTCAGAAAGATGACTAAATTGCACAAACGAACACCACAAAGTAAACCATTATGTGGATGAGCGAGAAAGATGGTCAACCGATAGGTACACAAAATATTCATGTAACCCCAGTTTAACCCTGGTAAATATTTGTGTAAATTATAGAAATCGACGCTATATATTCGAAGCCCTAAAATCGCAGCTTCTTAAAGTCATTCTTGAAACTAACTCAAGTTGGAACGCTGTCGGATGTGATGACCTTAATTGATTTCACTCGGATCCTTGTTTTCAGTCTCTCTCCAGTTTCCCTGAAACAATGTTTGAAGATGTAGGCACCTAAGAATGAATGTGGCGAGCTAGCACAAAGACATTCCATTGTCTACATTTATTGTTTTTTTCACAGCTAATGTTTTAATAACTTATGTTTCTACCACAGCGAAGCATCAGCGTTTACATCTAATGTGAATTTGTTGCCGATTATGATGGAGATGATGATGAAGATGATGGTGACGATGATGGTGATATGCCACGACAATCAATAGTTTGTGTTTATCCGCTACTTAAATGTCAAATGCTAGTTAACCCTAAAAGGATAAACAAGTTCAGCGGACTAAAGTAATGCGGGATACCGTTCTACGCAATGAGAACGTGAGAAAAATATTAAGGTTCCGTGTGGTTATGGGCCCTAAATATATTTTCGTAGCAAACGTAAACTTCGGAACAGGGTTGAACTGCATCTCATCTATAGAAAATTGCTTTCGGAAGTTCAAGTTAGCTTAGGAGCTCAGGATACCTTACTGGTTTGGGCACGAAATTACTGACCATTTTTGTAATCCAGCGTCGACATCTTGACTTGTCCTATCCAGGCTTTAACGATCCGGCGATTGCACAGTCCTTGTCCTTCCCTCGTAAAATCTGACTGCTGCATACCAAAACGGCGCTGTGGCTGAATTATTACTATAACCATCATGCTCTCAATATGCAAACTGCTATTTTATCACCTGGAATTGTAGCAGATTATCTTCAGCAGTAGAGTTAGGCGGATTTGACGTGTGAACGCAAGTCAATATCACAATATCCACTTCTTACAAGAAACCGTAAGATTCAACGCACACAGATTCAAGTCACCATTAGACGCCCAAAATTAAAATTGACTACACTATTCAGGTGGGTATTCCAAATTCTGAAGAGCATTTTCATTAAAAAGGAAAATACGAATAATTTTCTCATAAAATTTCAGTTTCAGTGGTTTGTAAAGTTTTCATATTGCTTTGTGAGCGAAATAGGAAATGAAATCTTGCTGCGCGCAACCTCCAATTCCGAAAATTGAAAATTGAAATTACAGAAAGTGGTGAAATATCGGAGCAACATTAAACTGGTTTGAGGGAGCCCATTTAATAATTCTAATTTCGTGTCCTTGTAATTTTATGTAAACTGATACGACAGAGAACGAAAATTGAAGAATAATATTACGAAAAGTAGTGAAATATCGGAGCAACTTTAAACTGGTTTAAGAGGACCCATTCAATGTTTCTAATTTCGTGAATTTGTAATTTCATGTAAACTGCCATAATAGAGATAAATGGATTCCTTGGTTCAAAGTTTCGGATTCAACCGCTAATTTCAACCAGATGCGTCATGAGACCATCAATCTACGCAGTGACTGAATATCCATATTTTAGAAGTCAAATCTTGAGTCCGGTTAATTTTGTCAAATTTCGTGCTGACCTACTGTGAATACACTACTTCACCGGATCGTTTGTAAGACAGAAAACCGTACCAATATCTCCATGTTCCAAAGTTATCAGCAATTGTTGTTATGAAGGGAGGTATTAAGCGAAATTATTTTGAGTAATCAGTTTGCGACACAGTTCGCTCAGAAGTGCACAGCTACTCGATGAAATGATCGACATCCTTAAAAACACCACAAATTACCAATGTGCACAGATTGTTGTATAAAGTTTGCCCATATGATCAGCCGTTCAACAAGCTGAGCAAATGTGCCGATGATACATTGGTTGGTAAAATCTGTCTACCAGAGTGCTATTAATTTTGTGGTGGATAGGTTTTTCACACCATCGCCATGCGTGTTCAGGGCAAAGTTTGATTCACAGCGGGAGTATATTAAAAACTCCAGAAAGATGAAGCTTCAAGTAACCCTGGATAAGATGCGTCGGTTTTCGCTTCTCATTGCGTTTTTGTTCTGCACCGACCGTGTAGCACGTTTGGAAGCCGCCGTTGTCCACAATTTGTCATCCATATTTAACAACCAGCCGTCAAAGAACTGGGTTATCCTTGTCGCTGGTACCAACACCTGGGAAAGTTATCGACATCAAGTATGTTTCGGTTGGTGTTTTCATTGTTTTGATTACCAAATTCTTCTGAACACCACACGAAATTGTTTTCGAATGTGAAATTTGCACTAATGGTACCCAAAACACATGTGTTCTAACTAATTATCTATCTGACTATGATGTTTTGACTGAAGAAGGCGGTTGATCAAACCCAAAACAAATGGGTGCACATTTCTTGGCCTGTATTCGTTTTCGACAGGAGTGCATTGTCGTGATACGATATTTCATTCCGTGAGGGGTCGATTAAATGGACCTAGTGAACTCAAATGATGGCGGGGTGCATACCATGAATCATGTTAATCGGAGACAAATACCGTTATGAAAAGTGTTTCACGTTGCGTTCTGTTATCTAAAATCACTACCACGAGTGGGACGTATGTTTTTGGTTAAAATATTCGAGGAATTTAATTATCCCCAAGCACCACCACTTATCGAACCTTACTTTGTAAATTAATAATATTAGAGTAAAACTCGTGCTACCGTGAATTATAGTGACCTGATTAACAACCCGGATCTCAGAAAGCTCAACAAAGGCCACCTCCTTTGCAGCGACATCAGTTGCTACGCGAAACACATCAATTTCAAGAGCGCCGGAGTCGCCACGCTACATGAGGAAATAATTCTACACTGCTTATAGGTCGATTGAACGCCGCTCTGATTAAATACACCCGTTCCGCTATACCCTTTTTGCATGGGATTATATGAGAATCGTATGCAAAATATTTGCGCATATTGAATGCGTGTGCGTCCAATAATAAGATCCATTGGGTACGCATTTCATCATTCTGACACTTGGCGAACTCAGAAGCCTTGGTTTACGCAACCTCAGGAAGCCCGGAATTGCGCCTCCCGTTCTTAGGCCTTGTCTCCGAATAAAATGGGCACATGAAAATATTCTTATCACAAAAAAAGTCGAACTAATTCCCAGGTGACAGATACACTCCCTTAGGGCCAAATCGAATGAACCAGCTCGTTTAGACTGTTTCTTCCGCCCAGGAAAAGCAAATCAATTAGACAAACAACGACAAAGTATTTCACAACTATGTTTAATCGGAGATATTTCGTGTTGGTCAGGACCGGGCGCCGGATTGCTCTTGATGTAGAACATGAAATGATTATTTCTAAAGCCTTTGGAGTTTCCCCGTTCACTGTCAGGACTCCAGTTGAGAGACTGGATATAATCGGTCGATTAGTTGTTGAAAATATTTAATCTTGTGATCGGTCATGTATACTAGGTCTTGCTTGGCCCATGGTAGGCCTCTTTGGGTTTATTTCCATAAAATTTCTGAGCCGATGCAGTGCTTTTTACCAGAAGCCACTGCGTTCGTTGAGTGATATTGTGCTCTCCACTTGGATAAAACTTGTCCAAGTTTCGCAGAAACTTAGGTCGTTGGCCGAGATCCAGTACTTGCATTTAGTTTGTCATACCATTCCACAAGAGTAGTGCTCAGTATTTTAAAGACAGTAGAAGTTCACATTAGAAGTCATTAGGACCGGGGTGCGTCAATTTTGAATCTGTGAGCCTTGTCCAACCTTAGGTTTCCAAGGCTTCCCAATAGTCAGCTCCGATGTGTTCATCATTCAAATGCGGCAATCGCGCACTGAAAGCGACGAATAGTCGTTTGATACCTGCTTACACTAATGTTTCAGAAATAGCAACGCCACACATAGCTAATATCGGTGTTGTCCGTCTGTGCTGCCGGTTGGTTATTGTGACAGAGCGCCATAAGACGAGGCAGCTTCGATTGTTTCCGAAGTTACTCCCACTCGTCTTCAACATGTTACTAATTCAGGCGTCCATCGTGGTCCGTGAATTCCACTTCGGTTCTGCACCCACCTAAATGAGTCACGGAAGCGCTACGTCTGCCTATTTGCGCATTTATGTCTTCGACAACCACGGTAATATGCGGGCTTTTAGTGGTTATTCTCTCAGGTGTTGCAAAAAGCTATCACCGATGCCGTTGACCATTCAATGAGAAACCCTAAGTTCAGGTGACCTAGATCAATACCAGCCCCAGTTGTAAAAGCAGCAGCGGCGCCGGAGAGGAGCGTAATTGAGAGCCAGCGGAATCTAATGTTTAGATCAGTATACCAACGGTGATGGGATAATAATCGTCATTTCGTTAAAGCATGAAGCGTGTCCAGCGAACAAGGATGCTGTGCAAACATTAAAGATTGCTACACGAACTAAGGTATAATATCGGAGCGCCCAAAGCTGTGGCGACTAAACTGACCGCGGATATTGCATTTCAAGACGACGAAAATAAAAACGCTTCCGTCAGGCATTAAGATTGTGCGTCCGTGTCGATACCACAAGTTGATTAAATTGAGAATATCGGATATATGCGGGAGACGGAAGGAAGGAGGGCTTCTGTTGTAGGAACTTCCGTTTACTCATCATTGAAATCAGGCAGTGATACTACCTGTGAAAGAAGGAGTGCACTTCACCTAGAAGTTAATTATTCGTAATCCTTAAGCCGCTGCAACCCACAGAACAGAAAATATGAAAGGATTTATGCGTCGCAAATAAACTACTCACTGGGTTGATGAGACGCACAAACCCCCAGGCCTCTGTGACGTCGAATTTCTCTCGTAAAGACCCAGATACAGCATACCTTCAGTTAGGGTGACAGTAATGACAACAGGCGAATAGTAACATTCTTAGAGAGGCTTTCAGCAGTTCGTTTCATCCTAAAGGGTCGTGGATGAAGCATCTTCTAAGACCAAAGGTGTTATCCGTAGTCATTAGGATGATCCTAGTTCTAAGTTAGACACACAGTAGGCTGAAGAATAACTGGCTTCCGTCCCTTGTCAATGAGACATCATCAATCTGTTATAAGCATAACGATTCAAAGAGGCCGCCTTGTTTAAAAGTCAGCCTGGATAATGTCGTAAAACCCGATGCAAAATCTCAGGATCAACAATTATCACTCGTTTATTCTTTCGAGAAAACAGGTTGGTGGAATGGAAAATTTTGTTAGATTTTTCCTACCCGGATAAACAGCTGTTCCTGATAATATTAGATGGTGATGGAGATTGACAACTGTGGAAGCTATCCAGCCAGTTATATTGAAAACTTTCTAGGATTTGAGGCATTTTCTTCCCGGCGAATCAGCAATGCATTTACGGGATAAATTTCGACACTCAGTTTACACCATGTTAATGCAAAATTGACGCAGTTTATTTGTTATTCACAGTGGCATATGGAAGACAGTTTTGAACGGATATCGCGAAAGCAATTAATGATGGCTGCTGTGCAAGCAATGAAGGAAACTTATCTCATGTGATTGTGTCCGAAGAAAGTGATAAATCCAATGCAGCGAAACAGTGTTGACAACAAGCTTAGATTTACCGCAATTATGACGGATTGAGCAGTTTTCTTTTCATGGAGAAATCCCAATCAAACCGCGTTCCCCAATGGGTTGCAGCGCAAGCTAATCAGCTGCTCGTGACAAATCGGTCAGCCTACTAGTGGCTGCCGGGATGTGGTAGGTTCGAGACCCTCCGGAGAAGTTCACATTACGGAGTATTCTCAGTAAGGATGCATCAGTTGCCCCACTTAATGATAAAATCAAGATCTGAACCCTCAAACACTGTACCCCAGCCCTGAAACAGCCAAAATTAATAACTAGTTAGTTGCCGTGCACAAATTCAAGCAAGAAATTAACGGGACACAAGCGAGTATGTTGGATTCAATATAATGGATAGGGATAGGGCATTCAAATGATTTTTAGGCCTGATAATCCACCAAGTATGCAGAATCCTAGGAACTCTGCTTGCCATCATTTGCCTCCGTGTTACACTCTGCCTTTTACCACTCATTTACCTGTTATTTATATTTTCCTTCAGGCGAACGTTTATCACGCCTACCATATTGTGCGTGCAAACAAAATTCCAGCGGAGAATATAATTACCATCGCCTACGACGATATCGCCAACAATCCCAAGTAAATTTTACAATGTTTGTCATCTGTTGGTAATTAGATGGGAGAAATCGCTTTACATTTTTCGGTTTTATATTCCCCCATTTTTGAGTCGTAAATTTCACGTATACAAACTATGAATATAATTGGGTCAAAGAAAACTGGTTCAATGCGTCACCGGAGATTTATCATTAAGTTTCCAACTTTTAATGACATTTCATGACACCATACTGTATTTACGCTTATTCAATCACCACAACTGATACCAGCTCAAAATGCAATAATTCCAGTATATCCTACCTGGTGAATATGAAATTTCATCTTCTTTTCGATTGTCAGTAATCTGAAGTCAATAACATCGATGCCAAGATGTTGTTTAAGGACATCATCCGGCTGACGATTTGGAGCAAGTTTTAGGGGCACAACCTAATAGACTTATCATTTTGTAAAACAGCCAATTGCTAGGATTCGCGGCGGAAACTTTCGAAAGATTTTTTTTTGCTTGGAGGCTGCAATAATTGGAAGTCATTCACTGGCTAATTAAATTACATACAAGTGCAGTGGGTGAGTGTATGCTCACAAAATTTGTTACTGCTGGTGTTTCCCTGTATAATTACATAAGAAACCTACATTTTCACTTAGAATGTGTAATGTTCTATGTTTCCTACCTACCGGAATGATTGCGAATTACATACAAGTGCAGTGGGTGAGTGTATGCTCACAAAATTTGTTACTGCTGGTGTTTCCCTGTATAATTACATAAGAAACCTACATTTTCACTTAGAATGTGTAATGTTCTATGTTTCCTACCTACCGGAATGATTGCGGGATTTATACATCAGGTATAACTTATGTTGGAGTGTCATATGGTTCCATACGGAACATACGAACATCTCATTTCCTCTGTTTGACATTTATGGTAATTTCTTCATCCTTTTATTCCAGGAATCCGTTCAAAGGCAAAGTGTTCCATGACTACGAGCACAAAGATGTTTACAAGGGTGTGGTAATTGACTATCGTGGAAAAGTATGTTCATGCGTAGCAATTAAATTAATTTGTTCACCGTGTAGCACAAGGTGCAAGTAACATGACACTGCGTATTAAGACACAATATCAACCGTAGGGCATCCTAGGCAGTTTAACTACGTTACATAATAGTAAATTTGCTTGAACGAACACTAGGTGATAGAGAAAACTCAAGCAGCCCACGACCGAGTTTACACTTCTGCTTGTGGCCTGCCAAGTAAGCTTAAGGTGTATTAACGGAATTTTCACAGTCTGGTTCTCCGCACGAAGCTTTCAAGCTAGGGTTCCTGTCAAACGAAAAATTAGGGGTGTTTAGCGTGTACAAGTGCCTGAAACCAGATACAAATCTTCGTTCGTGAAGTGTATGCGTCGACTGTCTTCTGAAAATTGTGGTGTCTCCTGGATTCGCCATTGACATGCAGCAATCGGTGGACACTGCATCAGGGTTGAATATTTGGTTTAAACAGAGTTCGTCCTGGAAACTAGCCATGCTCATCGACCACACCAAAAATCATGTTTTAAGTTTCCGTCATTTAGCATCCGTCCCGATAGTAGTCTGAGTGAAGTTGGAGAGTAGACCCCAGATTTCCAATTCTTTGCTAGAATGTAAATGGATGGCTACTGAGAGTAGAATAAGTGTGGAAAACACCGGTGTCACAGATGTAACGACATAACAGATATATGCGTGTTTATCTGTTTCAGGACGTCAAACCGTATATCTTCACGATGGTAATGACAGGTGATGAAAGACTTGAGAAGGAAGGGAAGAAGGTGTTGAAAAGGTGAGTTTGCGTGATTGCGCTTGCTGATCACAGCCGGAAGTGGCAAGTAAGCGTTTTCGGATTCACCAAACGTGTGTTTAGTATTCTCGTAAGCCATGTGGTACATCATCTCTTTAAGTAAAGCTCCCTGTGGATAGTCAAAATACATTTGCCTCACTCCAAATAAAACCAGGTTTATCAATTTCACACTGTGGGTAATTATAATATCGTAGGCGTCAATCGCCACTGCTAACAAGTTTCGAAAATATTCAGATAGGCTCAGTTGTGAATGGTCAAACATTTGCCCGGTCTTGTACAACTAGGGGGTTGTGGATCTTGGTTTGCTCGGATTCAGGATTTGTTTTTGCTCATTGTGTTGCCTCAAACCTGAATAATGGATAATCGAAATATACTAGCAGTTTTTGATTGGTTGAATACTAGTCCCTCAAATCCTGGTAATACCCTCAGCTTTTATAATACCTGCCTCGCCTTAGGTTGCATGTGGTTTTGTAACTTCACGTTTCATCTTTTGAGAATCTCTTCACGGCTTTTCGAACCGAATATGATCAGAAATGTAGCGCCCGGCTTACAGATACAAGCTATGATCCCCGGAAAACGTGTGTTCACTTAGAAATCATAAATATCCCATTCCGTCATCTATACACTGTATGGAATCGGAATTGCCACCAAATCCGAGATCGCCCAATCGTTGTGCGTGTCAACCGATTCAGAGCTTCCGATCCTGCAACTCGTTTGTTGAGATAGAGAAGGAAAGATGGTCTTTGTAGTAGGTAACCAAACGGCGATAAAGTCACTGGCAAACAAGCTTCGAAAAATCAGGTTGCAGCACAAAAGGAAATCAGAACTTACCACCAAAAATGAACTACGGAAGGCAGAAGTCGGACTGCGAGCTAATCAAATGTAAGAAACGAAACAGTTTCACAGTAGTAATCGGCAACCGATCACTAAGTCCATGAACAAACGGGACGCAGACAGAATATACTGGACATCCTGAAATGCAGATCATACGCAGCAACCACATTTTCAGACATAATATGTCGTCGGGCATATTCTGGGTATACAACGGACAGATGGGCACTCTATTGATCAACGCATAAAATCCGACAGTTATGGAAGAACTGTCGATCCAATCATTCACCCATGATGTCTCTTCGGTTGGTGACGGAATATTTGCAAGCCGATCATCGAGATCAGAGAAGAGATGAGCATCCCCTTGTTCAAAGAGCAACAAACGGAACATATCGATGGATTCGTGGATGTCCGTGTTCGGAATATAGGTTCGTCTCATCTTTATTACAATATGGTTCCTCCGTAGTGAATTAACCATGGGGATATTTTCATAGGCCGATTTAATTAGGATGGTCAGTGCGGGACTTGTAAACGGCTGGGTGTCACCGTTCCAATGACAAGCTGATAAAACTACCCAAAGTGGAAAAGTGACTTCAACCACCTTCGTACTACAAAAGCCAAAGGAGCTACTATTTCGCGTGATACAACAGCAAACCAACAGGCGTTCAGAAAATACATTTTCGATTCCCATATTCATGTGACCATGCAAATAGCACACCAATGGGAGTTAATTTATCAACTGGTTATATACAGTAGGGCGTACCAAAGAATATTCTGACCTGCGTGTTCGTTATCTATTTACTTCATTCGTGTTAAGATTTCGCTGGATAGGTCGCACAGGAATTGTGCAAATAAATAACTCAAAGTTGAAAATATTTTTACTAAGAAAAATAATCGTGTGCCACAGACAGAAATGTATTTTGGAACTTTTTTAAACCTTTCTGATTTCCTTAAAAATCAGTCGGCCAATGCCGTTTGCGTTGCAACATGGCCTCTGCAACCTATGAACTACCCACATTTTTGGGAACATTACAATGGAGTTTCCATTTGAGCGTCCGTTTTTGTTGTGCTTTCCTATGCATAAGAGCGCCACCCAATAAGCTATTTATCTAGATCACCTTAACTACCCCGTACACTTGCAGCGGTCCTGATGATAACGTTTTCATCTATTACACTGGCCATGGTTTCCGCAACTATATTACCTTCCCAGAAGGATATGTAAGTTTTGATAATTTTGATAATCACGGTTGTAGCACACGGCCATTTAATAGCAGGCTAAATTTTGAATGCAGTGAAGATGCGAACTGTCACACGTGGTTCCTTATAGAAATGTTTATAGTTACAACTGACATTCACATTCACCGAATGATGGAAGAGAAGCTACGAAGTTCTGGCGTCCCTTTCTCCCAAGTGCGGCAGGCTGAACTCACCTGATTCAGCGGTTGATCCCTTTAGACAGCTGAACAAGCATAGGTACGACAAACAAAGAGGCTGTTCGTACACGGTCACTCATGAGGCGTTGATGGTAGGAAGGCAAGATGCGATCATTTTTACTAGTCGGGAGATAACGCGAATCGCCGCCGGAATCAATAGGTCATCGTGCACTATGTACGAGATTGCAGTCTGTGACGAATATTCGGGAAAAATACTGTTCCATTCTTATTGGGAATCATCAGTGGTGCGCACTGTAGTTGCAAAATTTTACTGTCCGGCCTTGAGGCCAACCGACAGCCTGATTTAGCCGCAGTTGGTCGGGATATTACATCCCCCATCCTTCAATTCAGGAAACCACATCTCGGCTGACTTACTTTTGCAATGACAACCCAATCGAAGAGCCATTCATTGTTTCTTCCGTAATGATTACATTGTGTAAGTAGTGGGACGACATTTGAAATTTTTCAATTCAATGGAGATCATTCTAAATTTTCGTCAAACATGGTTAGGGCTAGAAGTATCTCCACAAATTGACTTGACTTACAGGATGTCATTTCACTTCTCAACGAGCAGTTCACGACTCATGCTGCAATTACCCTATATCAAGGCTGCATTTTTCTAATGCGGCTACACTGTACAGGAGTATCAATTTGGCTTTTCAATGGAATCAATTATCGTCCACCAATAATCTTTCGAGCTCACGAATTTTCTTTCTTGCCTTGCGACAGCTCACTGCCGCGCAATTGAACGATATTCTCCTCCACTTGTACAAAAAGAAAAAGTATAACAAACTGGTATTTTACATGGATGCTTGCTACTCTGGCTCCATGGTTCTGGATCTTATTCCTCCAAATGTGGGAAGTAAGGTAATTAATTTTTTGGCTGGCTCTCTTGGGGATCCTCTGGGTTATCATCCAGAATTTCCCTCATATATGGGTGAAACACCGCCCTGCCAGTAGAACTAAACGAAGTTCCAAGCATGTTTCATGCTTGTTCGCTTGTGATCATTGAATGTATGTAGTCCCGGGTCATCTGCAGGAAGCCTTTAGCCGGATAGTGAACAGCATCACACCTTCATCGAATAACGTCACCTCTGCTCCTGGACTAGTTTCAGCTTGTTAGAAGTCACTGTAGTATCGGTGCAACACCTGTGATATTTGGGGTTTTATTTTTGCAACCAGCATTCCCAGGTGGATGCAGTATTTGCAACTTAGGAATTGATCGTAAGTCTTTCATAAGATGTACACTTTGACGGAAGAAACAACCGATATGGTACCAGTGACGTGACCAACTTTTTACCGTTCTCGTCAGTGATCGACTCTGAGGGGTTCTACCAGAGGAAACCATATTATATATCTACATAGTTATATGGTTTGGATGGTCTGCCCCAACCATGTTTGACGAGCTCCGTCCAGTCTGGTTTCAATAAATGGTTATGCTTGAGAGCAATTTGAGGACTTCATCTTTCTGATTGACCCTACGGAGGGCAAAATCCATGGTGTTCTGTCAACGATTTTTCAGCGAGCCTCTGTTTAGTGTGCTGGTATTCGAATTCTGGGAGCTTCACGATTTCTGTGAGTCACAGTACAAGTTGCCCCACTTTTTCACAAGTTATCGTTCTATACATTCAGCTGTTTCCACTCTCTAAAACTGCAGTCTATGTGACAACATCAGCCAACGAGAAGGAAGAAAGCTATGGTGTTTTTTGTACGGATAAGCAAATCGATGTTTGTCTAGCGACCGAATACTCGTATGCCTGGATTACGGATTCGGAACACGTGAGTTTTGTGAAAACCGTTGCACAGAAGCCTGTCAGTTTGTAATAGATAGTTTTGTCGTGGGCAGCATTCGGTGGTTGTCCGTTTGGTTCTCTTAACCACTTATTATTTCATTCTTAACGAGTTAGCCATACTGTCTCAATAAGTGTTAATGTTTGTATGACGGCGGAGGCTGGGGGCTTCTAAGAGTTGGCAAGTATTTTGAACATCTGTGAACACTCGGCCCAAGGTTTTGTTTTGGCATTTGGGACTCCATGCTTATGCGCCGTGCAAACGGATGCTGGTCGGCATCCACTACTCTTGCACGTCGACACTTGCGCCTATTAGGCTATCAATGAAAAACCTAATACGCCTCGGTTTGTTGCATACGCAGCAACAAAATATTTGAAGTTTCCGCCAAAATGAATTTTTCTACTGATTTCAGAAGTCAACCGCAGAATTCACACAGAACATGCTGAGTAAGGTGGTGGGATGTTTTATGTCTGGATTAGTTTAGCTTGCATCGAGCTCGAAAAGTTGTATCGTTGACGGCCCCGTACTTGGTAATATTTTTTCAACAATACTGCACTTTCGTGGGACTGACGACTATTCTTTTAAAGACAGTTCAGCCCGCAACTTACCACTCACCGCCACAATAACACCACCACTCCCACCGGAAGCACCACCGCCAAACATGAAGAAACTATTGTTGGAAATCCAGCAATCAGGACCTTCGGCAGCCCCTAAAATGATGAAACCACTAGTTGGATGTCAAAACGTTCTCACTTAACTTCCAACCAGATTCGTCTGTGAGTTCCCGGTTGTCAAAAATCTGAAGGCTATTTCTATCATTCACCCTCTATGATGGAAATAAACCCTGATTTCCAATCTCACTGGTTATTGTCGCTGCGAGGTATGCCTTTGTATCAATGTAACTGAAGTTCTCGTTTTCATCTTCGATTTACATCGCCTGAGTAAGTGACTAGGGCTGCAGGTGCATCGAAATGATTGTGGTAAGCCAGTATGAAATCATTTTCCCTTTCACTGTGATTCTTTTCTTTTGAATAGGAATTTAAATGAATTCTGAATGCACGCAGAGTAGCCTTAAATTTGAACACGCGTGCTGACAATAATGGTGATGATGATGATGATGCTGATGATGATGATGATGATGATGATGATGATGATGATGATGATGATGTTGATTCCCCCACAGCGTATGGGTATTGCGTTCTGGCACCGCGAAGTGCTTTGTGATTCACCAGAAATACGCGTCGTTCCATAATTCGTTGTTTCAACTCCAGTGATGATTTTACTTGACAAGTTGGGTATGCCGTGCATTATGCGCGCAAAATGTTCTGCACCCAGAAGGTCCTGTAAGAAGTACTGGCAAAAGTACTAGCGGCAAAACCTGATGATTTTTTGCGGATGCTGCTGATGCTGCAGATGATGATGATGGCGATGGACTTCCTGAACGCCTTCTACTTAACAGATCTGCTGGAATGAAGCACAATACGCAAATTGCAGCATATTCCGGTGAATAAACATTCATTCGGGTGCCACCTGATCGCCATTTGAGTCCTTCTGCTTTCTCGCGTAGCCTGCCTAATATCGAATGACTAGTATTCACATATTGCCCTAGCACGCGATATTTCCTTCCAAAAAAATTCATCAAACATTGCAACTCAAGTTGGCTTGGCCATGTGTTGAGCGTCCCGATTACCGGATTCCCAGAGAGGTGTTGTAATCCATACGCAGTCCGCAGAGTCCTGAGCCAAGATGTGGAAAGAAAGGAATCAACGGTACTGTGAAAACCTTTATTTGTACGTGTATGATGTATTGGAACAGTAAAATGTTCACTTATTTATCAGTATTATGTGTTGTTGTTCAACTCGGGTGGCTTAACTCTGACTGTTTTGATTTTTTTTGCATTTATTGGGTCCATCTATAATTGCGCAACCTGATCCGTCTTTTTCACACATTCCCCACTGCCATCATTTCTCTCCTGCGCAGAGTGACCTGAAAAAGCGAACACTGGAACAACAGTACCAGGAGGTGAAAAAGAGGACAACATTAAGTCACGTGATGAAGTACGGTGAGATGGTGAGTCAAAAAAACACACGCGGAGAGATTCAGTTTTATCACCAATCTATTATGAAAATGAGTGCATTTGTGGACATGTCACTCGTATTTCCTTATTACTGGAAGATGGCGGTCAAGGTTTAAAATAGATGATAAGGGACTTCAGGTTTCATAGACGAAGTTTAGCAAGGCAGCTAGTCCAGTTATCTAGATATACAAGCCTAGCCAGTGTCATCTCGCGGATAACCAAGTAATGGCCCTGGGTACCCTGTGCTCTATAACTTTCTGTTCTATGGTAGAAAAGGTACTCAAATCTGTATGAATCAAGTAACTCAGGAGAAGAATAGATTTACACGATGACTGAAACTCTCACCTTAGAATATATCACTCGTATAGCCAGTGATTTTGTGATCATATGATGGGGTTTCCCGTGATTGAACGATAATTGACGCTGTTGTGCTATCTAAGTGGAAGCCAGTCACTCTGCTGATCAACCTCTTGTGGTTGAAGAGTTAAGCATTCAGTCGTTTGCCGGAAAGTCGCGGGTTCGTCATTACCCGCTGGAGTGAGATGCGCACTACTGCTGACTCACAATATCACAGGAGATATCTATACAATGTTTCTCGGTTTCATAGCATTGATTGGTTTCACTGAAGGGATAGAGCATGCAACCGAATGATGAAGCTCTGCTATGCGGCACAAAGCAAAGTGCACAATAACACGTGTAGACAGGATTGACATAAGCACGTCACAGACGCATTGTGTTCGGATTCAAGTTTAAACTATAAAATTGACGACGGGTTTGTCAAACCATCTAGCTGGTATTCAGATATTCATGCTCCATGGCAACCTCAGAACCATTTTTTATCTACACATCAGTGGTAAACCACGTATTAGTACTTTTTACTCTATAGTTTGTGCGGTTAAAATACTTGCTCTGCGATTCTATGTTTTCGTTCATTTTGTAGTCCCAAGATGTCGGAAAGCTTCGTTTGAACATTACAATAATTTATGCGATTTTTAGTAGCTGACGGACAACAAAATGAAGAGTGTTCTCTGCTTCCTGAACTAGCGACTACTACCAAGCGCACATTCGAAGTGTACAACAGCAAATCGGATACTGCGCTTTTATCCGATCCGGAGGCAGTTGTGCAGTAAACTTTTTAATTCCCTTCTAGACCCGTACGGGAACTCTTAGAGAAACATATTAGTGATTCGGTGATTATCAATGCTGGGAGAAAATGAGAAGAGATGTTTATTGCTCAA